CAGAAACCAAGGCACTGCCTCTGGTTCCTTCCCCCTCTGTCTTGTACCTCTTCTCCACCTGTCACATCCATTCTCAGTGCCACCTCTCCCAGTTCCAGGGAATTCAGGAGCAGTCATTCYGATTGCACAAATTCCCATCTCTCACAGATCCAGGGATTTCAGGAGCAGTCATTCCGATTGCACCCATTCCTGTCTCCCCCAGATCCAGGGAATTCAGGAGCAGTCATTCTGATGGCACCTGGATCTGTCTCTCCCAGATCCAGGGAACCAGGAGCAGTCATTCCGATGGCAGCCGGTGCCATCTGCGTGCCCGTGAGCCACTGGCTGGGGGTGACAGCCCTTCCCCTCTGCTGGCAGCTGTGACGAGGCTTTGGGATGGGTGTCTGAACACATCCAGCGGATGCTCCTGATGGAGCAGGTAGTCCTTGGATCCCCTGCTCACAGCAGGGTGAGCTCAGAGAAGTGAAACCCCGTTGTTGTTGTGTGCTGCTGCTGCTCTGCTCGTCCGGAAAAGGCACCTAAACCATCCCTCAATTTCCTTTCAGACAGAAAATGGGCTGCAGATTGGAGTCCTCATCCAGCTCCAGCTCTTCTACAGCTTTTGTGATTTCCCTGTTCCCACAGCCAGTGTGGACAGGCCAGACCAAGRGCCTGACACATTTCTCAGGCTGGGAGAGCTGGGGATGTTCACCTGGAGAGGAGAAGGCTCYAGGGAGAGCTCAGAGCCCCTTSCAGRGCCTAAAGGGGCTCCAGGAGAGCTGGAGAGGGACTGGGGACAAGGGCCTGGAGTGACAGGACACAGGGAATGGCTTCCCACTGCCAGAGGGCAGGGATGGATGGGATATTGGGAGGAAACTCTTGCCTGTGAGGGTGGGGTGGCTGTGGTGGGCACATGAGAACATGACAGGAACAGATGGATCTGCAATCACAGCCTGGTCTTTGCCTGCAGAAGAGCCCGCCTGTGGCTGTGGATGCTGGGAAGCTCCATGAGGTGCTTTCACTGACACGTGGTGTTATTTCTGGAGCTTCCCCAAAAGAACTGGAGTTGGGCTGTGCTTGTGAATATAATCCCCATTCCAYGAGACCCACCAGGAGCGGGACTGAGAGCCTCGGGAGGAGCTCCCCTCGGTGACAATGTCACTGATGGTGGCAGCACCAAGCACAGGGATGGAGCAGGGCAGGCAGTGAAGGGTGGCTCTGATGCTGGCACTCCCCTGTGCGAGGGGACGAGGGGCCACTGTTCAAGGCGCTGTCCAGGGCCGCAGGCAGAGCCCCTCAGGGCCAGCTGTTCCTGGGCAAACAGCACCATCTMTTTGCAGAGGAGGGAGGGCACTGTGGCCTCCAGGGCTGGGTGGCTGTGGCCCAGCAGGATTGAGGATCCCACCTCTGCTGCCCTGGGGCACACTGGGAAACTCCTGACCCAAATCTGGGGTACCCTCAGAGTCCTCCTGCAGCCCACAGGTGACACCTGGAGCTTGCACTGAGGTCAGGGTGGGAGCTGCTGGACATGTGTGCAGGACCAGGGAGGGGACAGGCTCCAGGCTGGGCCCAGCTCAGGTTTGGGTCTCTCTTTCCCGGGCAGGCTCTGTCCTGCTCCCGCACATGGACACAAGGACACTCATCCTGGGGTTCCCTCAGCTCTYAGCCATTCCCTGTGGTTGGCTCAGACACACTCCAGCCCCGGGGGCAGCGGGGGCCCAGGGAGGTGTTGGCCCCACAGCACCAAGGGGAGAAAGCCAGACCAGCCCCAGCTTTGCTCCAGCTGGGAGATGTCCCCATCCCAGCCTGTCCCCACCTCCAAACCTAGCTCAGCCCTCTCGGAATGGGATCTCAACATGTTCTGAGTGACAGAAGTGACCTAGGACCACCCATTCCAGCCTTGCCACACAACTGGGAGGAACAAAGATCTGCTTTATTAAACCTGATGGGAAAAGGGTATTAGGGGTGGCCCAGGGCCCCCAAAGCTCACGCGGAGAAACCACTACTTCTTCCTGCGCTTCTTGGTGTTCATCTTGATCAGCTGCAGCCCCTGCTTCTTGATGTCCTCCCGGCTGGGGATGTAGTCACGGTCTTCRTCCTCAAAATCCAGGGTGTCTGGAGGGGACAGTGGAGAGGAGGGGCTGAGGATGGTCTGGGGGCCACCTCTGCTGYGCCCACGTGGCGAGGGAGGGCATATTTGGCTTGTGGAGTCCCAGGGGCTTCTCCACCCCAGCATCCCAGGATGAGATGCAGGACCTGGTGTTGCCACCACTGTGGCCAGCACTGCTCCAACAACTTCCCCTAAAGGTCTGGAGCTGCAGAGTGGTGGGCACAGCTCCTGCTTTGCTAAAGCATGGTGGTGAGCTGCCAAGAGCCCTTTTTCCTCCTCCAGGGGCGTCCTCAGRCAAAGCCAAGCACTGGTGATTCTTCACAACCAGGGCATTTTGCCCCACAGCATCTCTCTGTGTTCCTGCTGGGCCTTGGTGCTCCCCACCCCAGCCCCCGCCTTTGTTCTGCCACAGCCCCACCTCAAACACCAGCCCTGTGTGAAGCCTTGGAAACAGCCACCGTCAGCCTCAAAACCTGGAGGGAATTTGTGGGTTGATGTCTGCTGGAACAGTGGGAGACAGGAAAGGACTGCCAGAAACTCCACGGGCAGGGACAGTCACTGTGGGACATGTCCTCTCTGTGCTCTCCTACCATGTTCCATAGTGTCTTCATCCTCAAAGGCAATCTTCAGGTTCTGTGTTTCATCTGCAGTTCTTAACTCCAGGAGGCTCCTGACCTTGGAGAGAGTCTGTGAGGGACACTGGGGTTAAGTGCTGGAGGGCAGGTGGGTGTGACAGCCCGAGGGGCCACACCTGAGCCACTCCTGGGTGCCCAGAGCCATTCGGGGCCACGCTGCTCCGGGACTCTTCCCTGGGGCCTTGCTGAGGAAAGGGGAGCTGGGTGGCCATCTCTGAGGGCCCTGTGCGTGTCCCCAGGGGCCATCTCTGAGGGCCCCGTGCGTGTCCCCAGGGGCCATCTCTGAGGGCCCCGTGCGTGTCCCCAGGGGCCATCTCTGAGGGCCCTGTGTGTGTCCCCAAGGGCCATCTCTGAGAGTCATCTCTGAGGGTCCTGTGCGTGTCCCCAAGGGCACAGAGGGCCACAGCCCCCCTACCTCGCTGCGCTCGTCGGTGCTCTCCTCGGGCCGGGCCGCCATCTTCTCCTTCATGAACTGCAGCTTCTGCTCRCAGTGCTGCAGCTTCTCCTCCAGCCCCACCGCCTCCACTGGGCTCTCCTGGGAGGAGAGAGAGGACACCTTGGTGGGGACAGCGAGCCCCTGGAGGTGCTGGTGGCTGTGCCAGCTGTGCCCATGCTGTTGTGCCATGCTGGCCCTGCGCYCCCAGCGCCCTGGGGTACCTGGCCGGGGATGAGGATGCCCTGCAGGCGGAGGAACAGGTTGTCAATGATGTTCTCAAACTCAATCAGGCGCTTCTGGTTCCTCGACATCTGCGCTTGCATCTCCTCCAGCCGYGCCTCTTCCTGCTCCAGGTTCTCCCTCAGCTCGTGCTCCTGCAGCCTGGAGCCAGCCACCCTCACGTCACAAGGGTGCAGGGACACCCCAAAGCTGCTCGGGTTGCCCCTCAGTCCCAACTTCACACTGCTGACAGCCCTTCCCACGCCAGGCGAGGAGCAAAGGAACCCTCAGACTCCAATGGGAGCTTTGAGTGCTCTGCTGGGACCAGAGCTGGGGGTGACCCTACTCAGAACCTCTCCCAGTGTGGGGGTGGTGGGTGGCTGTGGTGGGATAGAGTCAGGGTGCCTGTTGGGACACGTGCCACAAGGGTGGTGGCCTGGGTGGCACTGCTCTGCGAGGCCAGCAGCACCTGGTGGCAATGACGGGCTGGGTGAACTTCAGCTTCTCCTGCTTCCCCTCCAGCTCTTTCAAYGTCTTCTTCAGCTCCTCCTTCTTCTCCCTCCACTCATCAATATGCTGCTGCAGGTCCTCCAGGGACTTCCTCTGYGCCTCGATCCTGCTGGGGATGTCCTGGCCAGGGGACAGCACAAGGACTCAGCCCCAGGTGCTGCTGCTGGGAGTGGGGCCTCGGGGAGCTTGTGGCAGCACGGAGCTCTGCAGTCCGGCTGTGGAGTGGGGTGGAAGCTCTGAGCTTGGCCATGGAGCGGGGTGGTAGCTCTGTGCCCACTCAGCCATGGAGCAGGGTGGTAGCTCYGAGCCTGGCCATGAAGAAGGGTTTGGGGGGCTGCAGGGAGGGGAGAGCTGGTAACCGCATGGTGAAACGGGGGAGCAGAGAGGTCACAGCTGCCCAGCACTCAGGCAGCCCCAGGTTTCAGCAGGGATGGTTCTCCATTACCCAGAGGCAGGAGCACTTCAGGACAGTCTTTGCTTTCTCCATCTTCTCAACCACAGAGGCCTCGCGCTGCAGCTTGGCCATGGCAGCCTCGATGTCAGCACCTGGGGTGGCAGGGACACGGTAGGGCAGCGTGCCGGTGGCTGTGTCTGTGTCCCCCACCCAGCCACCTGCCCGCTGCCCAGCACTCACTGCCCAGCATTTCCGAGGAGCTTGGCTCGTGCTCCGCTGACAGCATGGACACGGCTTGCTGCAAGGAGGGTCAGTGTCACTGCCAGGGGTCAGCGCTGTAGGCTGTCCCTGCCCCCCAGCCCTGCCTGCCCCACAGCCCCACAGCCCCAGCCCTGCCCGCCCCACAGCTTTACACCCCCAGCCCTGCCTGCCCCACAGCTCCACACCCCCAGCCCTGCCTGCCCCACAGCCCCACAGCCCCCGCCCACCTTCCTCTGCTGCCTCTCATTCTCCTCCTGGAGCCGGAGGCTCTCGATGTGCATCCTCTGCTCTGCCAGGGACTTGTCCCTGAGCTGCTTCTCCACACGGACCTGGGGTCCTGCCTTAGCCATGAGTTTCTGGAGCAGAACAGGGAAGGGAAGAGTTACTGCCAAAGTCAGTTGGGGCTTTCAACAGGTGGGCTATTAGGTTTAAGTATTGGTTTATTTGGGAGATGAGGAAGGAATTGTTCCCKGTGAGGGTGGGGAGGSCCTGGCACAGRGTGCCCAGAGCAWCTGTGGCTGCCCCTGGATCCCTGGCAGTGCCCAAGGCCAGGCTGGACACTGGGACTTGGAGCAACTGGGATAGGGGAAAGTGTCCCTTCCMACAGCAGGGGGTTGGAGTGGGATGAGCTTTAAGGTTCCTGCTAACCCAAATCATTCCATGAAACTGTGATTTGAGTTACTGAGATGGCCAATGTCCAAAACACCYCCACTCCCTGCAAACAGGCTGTGAGGGAAGCCTGGAATAGAGGCTGGGGTGTCAGACACTGCCTTTGCCAGGGCTGGTGCCTCAGCCAGGCTGTCCCCAGCCCCAGGGGACAAGAGGGAGAGCCAGGAGGACCCATGGAGGCCCCTGGGTGCCATGGGCACCCTCAGCTCCATCTCTTTTGCTCTTTGCTGCAGGAAGGCTCTCAGGCCCAGGGTGTAGTGCTGTCTGTGGCACTGTGGAGTGGGAAGGGTCCCAGCTATCTCACCTTGATGACATGGTTGGCTTTGAGGCTGCTGCGGCTTGTGAGCTCCTCATTGTACATCACGGTCATCCCGCACAGGAAGTCCAGGTACTGAGGCAGGTACACCAGCTCCTGGCACACAGGGAGCCACAGCACATCACCCAGTGAGCCCCGGGATCCCTGTGCTGTGACAGGGCACCGAGGGCACCAGGAGGGGACAGTGGGACACCCACTGGGACACCCCCTGGGGACAGAGCACCGAGGGCACCAGGAGGGGATCCCTGGGACACACCCCCTGGGACACACCCCCTGGGACACAGCCCCTGGGGACACCCCTGGGACTCCCCCTGGGGACACAGCCCCTCGGGCACCTCGTGCCTTTGCAGGGGGAGCAGGTGGGACGATGGCTCGGTGAGGAGGAGCTCACCCTCTTCAGGATTTCCTGCAGCTGCAGAAACAGGTCTGTCACAATCTCTCCACTTCGAATTTTCATGAGCATCTTCTCAATGTCATTGCCCAGCTGGCGAATTGTCTAGGGCAGACACGGGGCAGGGAGGACATGAAGTGACCCCGTGTGCCATGCCCGGTGCCCTGCTGGGGGTGCAGGAGCTGGACTGAAGCCCCTCATGGGTGCTGGCACACCAGGAAGGGSTCCTGGCTACCTGCAGCTGTGGCTCTTGCCACTTGGGATCCGTCTCGGCATCCAGCAGCTCCTGCAGGTGCTTCTGGTGCTCGTCCCTGGCCTGGCTCCACTGCTTCAGCTGGTACAGCAGCATGTCACACACCTTCACCTGGTCATTGATCTGGCTCTCAAGCTTCTTTTGGACCACCTGGATGGGCAAAAGAGCATTTCCCAGGCTGGGTGYTGCAGAAGGGGGTGCTGCCTGGAAATCTCCCACCAAAGCAGAGCCAGGGACACTGGGCTGCTGCTCTGGGATGCTGTCACTGGTTTGACAGGATGGGATGTGGGAGTGCCTTGCTCTGGGCTGAGGCAGAGGTGGGACAGTGCTGATGGCAGYGCTGGGCTGGGCTCCGCATAACACAGAGCAGGGCTGGGATCAATAGAATCAATCGGGCCCAGCTGGGCATGTTGTCAGAGAGCAGCAGCAGCATTCTGTCCCTGCAAGAGGCCCCTGGGCAAAGGCAGCTCTGTGGGGACAGCACCTCAATCTCCACGGGTTTATAACAGGGCACAACCTTGGCACAGCCACTGAAGGGCAYGGACAGCAGCTCCCTGCCAGGGTGCAACTGGACCCTTTAGGAATCCGGGTAGTGCCAGAGACACCCAGGGTGGGACAGCCAGGTCTGCTGGGACAATGGGTCTGCATGGATGGGTCCCATGGTGGAAGGGAACCCACGGGACCGGATATGAACACTCTGCGTCTCGCCACAGCACCCCGTGGGGCTGCGCTGGTGCTGGCACCACGTCCTCCCCACTCTTCCTCCCAGTGTCCCCAGAGCCCCTGCCATTACCTGTGCGGTCTCAGTGAGCGGAACGAGTTCCGGACCCTCTGCGAAAACATCCTTAACAGGGACTTTGTTGTACTGTGGGCAGGGGAGGAACAGAGACAGTCACTGTCACTCTGGGAATGGTCACCTGCTCTCGCTGGCCTGTGCTGCCAGCTCCTGGAGGAGCTGGGGGTGCAGGGCCAGCACCAGGCTGGGGTGCAGCAGGAAGGACCTGCTGGTACCTTCAGGACAAAGTCCAGGATATTGGAATCCTCCTGCAAGGCCCCCTGCAGGCCGGGGAGCAGCTCCCTGTTCTGCCGCAGCTTCTCCTCGCAGGACTGAGCGAAAATCTTCCTGCCTTGCTCTGGGGGACATCAGGGAGCCGTTGGTACCACGCAGGACRAGGGCACCGTGACCCCCCTGTCCCCAGGGCAGCACCTTGCAGGGCAGTGAGGACACGCAGCTCCTGGCTGCGCTGGCTCAGCTCGGCCTTGAGGCCATGCGTGCCGCCGGTGGCCTCTGTCCCTTGGTCCATCWTTCCCGGATCCCTGGGGGACAGACACCAGGCTCTGCTGCTGCCCTGTGCAGGTGTTGTGACCCCAGGGTTCCACCGTGGAACTGTCACTGCGGCACTGCCAACTGCCACAGGGCTCCTGCTCAGCCACGGCCCAGCCCCCTCCTCAATGCCTCTGCAGGGAACAAGTTCATTAATAACTGATTAACGAGCTCTTAGAGGGGGGCAGAGAAGCATTCCAGCTTTGTCTTCCGTTGCTGTGCCAGTGGCAGTTGTCACCTGCCTAGTCAGGGACTATTCCGAGCCCTAGCAGGAGCAGGAGGAGGAGTTTCACGGAAAACACCCAAACACACCAGGAATGCTCTCCTGGAAGCTGCCAGCTCATTTAAACGCTCACCTTTTTGGAAATTCCAGTTAATTAACCAGGAAAAGGTTGTGCAGGCAGTTATGCTCCCATTGGAAGGGGCAAAGCCAAACCAGATACCAATCCTGAGCTTTATTCTGATGCTCACCATACATTCTTGCTGAACTACAAACATGACAAGAAATGCCAGCATGTACATTTATTTGTCCATAAATAAACCCAAGCTCCCTCTACCAGAGAAAATCCTTAATGTTTGGATTTGAAGATAAAACTTTAGAAAGAAATTGCCTTCCTAGCACCAAGCTCATGAATCAGCTTAGATGAAGATTCTGTAACTCCAGATCTTCAATGTGCTGCCATCCTGTTGTGCTCCAGGTGTTCAACATAGCAAACCGAGAAATTCAAGGATTGTGAAAGCAGGCCTCAGAGGCCCTTGCTCAGTGTCTCATTTGCRTATTTAGGAATTGCATGTTAGTGCTAATTGCCAGTGACAAGCTATATATCAACATAATCATCCCCAGTGCTTCCCCAAGTGTGCATGGAGAGTGGCAGACGAAGGCAGCAGCTCAGCATGGCACCCACAGGGAGCTGCCTGGGCACACAGAGCTCTCTCCACACTGCCCRTGCCCACATGGCAAACCCAGTCATKACAYCCCTGCATTTCCCARGCAGCATTTAAACACCTTGGGGACAAACAAAAGCATTTTAAAATGGATAGTGGTTCAAAAATCTGTTTCACCTGCCCTCAGCAAAACTGAGGCTCTAGAGACAGATCTTCCCAAACGCTGCTGAAGGAATTGATCCTGGCCTTGCACAAGTTGAGTATCAACTGGCTGCTGCTGAAATCCACTCCCAAGGGGCAGCCCTGGACTGAGGATAGAGCCCTGCAGCCACCTCATGTGCCAAACCTCCCCTCCTCCAGCTGATTCCCACTCTCCCTGACGGAGTTCCAGAAAATTCACCAGTTAAAGGTGCAGAGGAAAGGTCAGGAGTACAAACTGTGCTCTATTTAAGTGTCATGTAAGGGGGGAGTCTCTGGAAGGCAACAGCAAACAGAGAGCACCACACTCACCTGGGAGAGATCTAATCCCTGGCCGGCCCCAGCTCCTCACCTGCTGCCTACTGTCTGCATGGAACACGAATGTCATATTAAAGGCTCTCAAAATTCCTGCTGATTTAGATTTTACTCACTGAACCATATCTGCTTTGCCTGGTGGTTTGTATTTTTAGTATCTCCTTCCCCCGTTGTTGTCCTCTCTTCCCCTTTTCTTTGAAATACCTCGGTTCAACTTCAAATCATTTGTTTAACACAGCTGCAGYAAGATTTAACAGAATTAGCAGGAACTATATCCCATGCCTCAGGAGCTGGCTGGAAATTCCGTGTGTGGATTAGAGAGCAGCAAAAAAAAAAAAAGACAGAGGATAAAGGACAGCTGCCAGAATTGTTCTGTTGCACTAAAAAGCAAAGGGGCACACACAAACAATTCCTGCTGGGAATTACTGTCCAACAAAAGCCTGTCTGGCTCCATAGCCAGAGGCCATCACTGCCTGATTGAGATTCATTTTATCATGTGAAAGCAGCAGCTCCCAAGAACAGGCTACTCCCTCAGCCTACAAAAGCATTGCCACAGCCAGGGATATCTCCTCTACTATAACAAAAATAAGTCTTTTATTTCTTTCTGTATCTATAATATATAAATAGATGATCATTTGTTTTCATTAATGTAGCTAAATATATTCTACGAATAAGTTATTTGCAGAACAGCATCTCTTAAGTCATCAAGTGCTGTTACAGCCAGTGAAGGAATTCTTTATGAATGGTCCTTTTAAGTACTTTAATTATCAAGCAGCCAATTAYGGAAGCCTAAGTCAGTTTTCACACTGCCAAGAGACTGATTTTCAGACATSATCCACACTTTGCACCTGTTTAGGAGTGAAAATGCAGCTGTCTTTTCTGAAGGTCCCTCTCCTCACATACAAAGCCACTCCTCAGTGACCAGTGCAATCTCCCACTCAACACTGACAACCTGAAGGTTCAAACAATTGGCACCARATCACTCAAACACTCTTCAACAGCAACCCTGAAACTACTGCAAAGCCAGAGCAACCTCCTACCACACCCTAACTCAGTCCTTATTAGTGCAGCTCTGACACAAAATCTTCTTACAGGCGAAGACATCTGTAAACCAAGCAAGTGTAAAATGATAAAAAAAACCAACCCACACTGCATGGAAAAATCCCAAAGGATTAGTGTCAGAAAATATTTGGCAGCAAGAGATTGGAAAAAACCATGAAGGCCTAACAGAAGAGAATGGCTACACCAGTCACTTCGGGGAGGCTGTTGAAGCAGATCTGCTGCAGGAAGGTTTTGTTACTGGAGCTTTTCATCTCCTTCCTCCACATCCTTCAGGCTGAGCACCTCCAGGGATCCTTTCCCTTTTGTCTCACTGCGGATCAGCTCGTCGATCTCCCTGAAGCAGCCTGGGTCAATAAGGCACACCTGCAATGTTCCACAGTCCATCAGTCAACCAAGAATGTTTGAAYTTCATCAGCCCCCACCCAAGGCCTAACATTCACTTTCATTAGAACAATCCTGGTTAGTTACTGAAAAGGACTCTGCAGAGCCGACGAGCATTCCCACAGAATGCTCTGCAGTTCCAGCTCCCCATGCTGGACATGGCTTTTGCCATTGGGATTGCTGGATTCTAATCTGTTCTCATTAAGATTTTAATACCAAGTTTTGTTTACCACAGAGTATTAAAAAAATTAACCACTCTCAAAACCCAGGCCCAAACCACCAAATAAATAAAAGTAACACTCCACAAATGAGAGGAACTTATCAGTGTTGCAGGATCATCACTGCTAAGAGGAATTGCACTGTGCACTCTTCAGTTTGGAGCAGCAGCCTCTGGATACCAAAGTCTGCTTTCCATGCTCACCTCACAWGGATTGTGTGAAATTAAAAAATCCCAACTGCAGCTCTGTTTCAGGATCTCTGGCAAACCTGCAGTTTACCTAAATAACATCCATGAATTCATCTCCTAGTAAAACACACAGGTGTAGTTCAAATCCAATCTGAAACCCAGGGACTGCTTTTTGCTTACAATTTCCAGCTGTTCCTGGAAGTCTTCACTCTCAATGACTTTAATCAGTGGCTTGAGCTTCTCTTTCAGCTTCTTGCCCTCCTTTGCTGGCAGGATAAACCTCAGCCTCATGTGAGCACGTTCAATCTGCATGGTCTCCTTCAGCTGCCTGATCACTTCCAGGGCCTGTTGGACATGAAGAAGAGCATTKACACACCTGCTTCAAAACCACACCAGATCCAAATCTTGAAGCCTTTCCCTCAGCTTCAGAGCCATCTCTTAGTGCTGGCCACTGCCATCCTGCTGCAGGGAGGTTGCTATCATGCTCTTCATAGATTACAGGAAAAGGCAAAGTTCTTGCTGTTTGTGATCACTTCAAACATTTTAAAACTGTCTGAAATAAAATGAAATGGCTATACTGCAAAACACCACAAACACACATGGCTCAGATGCAAAGTTGATATACCACCTCCATTAGCGTAAAAATTAAACCTTTTACTTCTGTTCCAGGTTATCACTGTTTTTTTTTTTTTTGCTTTCTTTCTCCCTTCCTTGAATTCTTAGCAAAGAAATTGCCTGAGTTTCAGGAGCTGTTTCTCTACAGCACTCAGCTGCCAGATGGCTCGGTAATCCCTCTGCAGGCCTCAGATCCCGGGGCTTTGCTGATCCCTCTGTGAYTGAGAACTGAGGAATTACACTGGATGACACCTCAGAGCAGGAGCTGACACTGCAGAGAACTCACCTGCTGCTTCGTGCTCTTGTTGGGTTTGACAGAGTAGTGAATGTCCTTCATGGCCCTTTCTATAAGGATCACTGTGTAGGGCCTCTTTGTCTCGGGATTCACACACTTGTCAGCCACGATGGTGGCGATGTCTCTGAACATCTGCTCCAGCTGCGTGTGCCGCTCCTTGTCCGACACCTGCAGCTCCCCTTTGGATAAAATCTGTAAAACAGAAATCGCTTCATGAACATCATGGATTTGAAGAGTGAAAAGTTGAGAGACTTCATTAAATTTGACAGTTGTTTGAAAGGTTTGGTTAGATATGAAGGGCAGAAAACAATAACCAAATTAATAATGTGAATCATTACAACAGACAGCACTGGAAATATTTCAAACAAAAAAAAAATCACCATAGAAACACTGAACTGCAGTGGGAGCAGCACAGATTTCACAGATTCATAGAATCCCCTGAGTTGGAAAGGACCCCCAATGATCATCCAGTTGGCCCTGCATATCCCATCCTGTGCATCCCCAGGAGCTCCTGGAGCTCTGGCAACCTCAGGGCTGGGACTGTTCCCTAGGGGACCTGGGCAGTACCAGCACCCTCTGGGAACAGAACCTTCCCCCCATCTCCTGCCTGAGTCTCTCTTGTCACAGCTGCAGCCATTCCCTGTCTCCTGTCCCTGGTCCCAGGGAGCAGAYATCAGAGCTGTCCCTCAGGAGAAGCTGCAGACCCCAATGAGGTCTCCCCTCAGTCTCCTCAGGCTGAACAGACCAAGTGCCCTCAGCTGCTGCTCATGTGACCCCTCCAGGCCCTTTACCTTCTGTGTACCCTCCTTTGGACTCTGATAGCTTTAGATCTTTCTTATATTGAGGCACCCAAAACTGTCCCAGCACGGGAGGTGAGGCTGCCCCAGTCCAGGGGACAATCCCCTCCTGGCCCTGCTGGTGATGCTGGGCCTGGTGACCCCAGCACAGGGACATCCCTTCTGGCTGCCAGGGCACTGCTRACTCAAGAGATTTACTGAAATCTCATCACTCACAGCAAGTTCACAGTTCAAATCCCATCAATAACAACTCAGCAATTAGATCAGTTATTAAYACTTAACTGAGCTCTCTGAAGTGAGCAACTGTCCACTTCCTTTCTCTGCATCTTTAATAASTTATCTTAGCTGAGGAACTCTACAGTGCTGTGTCCAGACACATCAGTGCATGCAGGTTGTGTGTTAGATAGAATTCTGTTCATCCATAAGCATATGCCCAATTTAAAACTATAAAAGAGTTACTGCCCCTTTTTACCCATTCCTTAATAAACAACCCTTTCAYCTACAGCAGCATTCTACAACCTTCAGTACAAACTGATCTAACTGTGTGACTAAATTTTCTCACATCTTTTATAAAGCAAGGTGTGTGAAACCTACCATCTTACAGATTTCTGTTTGGTCATCTGTCCCAAATGCTTGAACCAGATCTTCCTTCTTCGCCACCTGGCCTTTGGAAACATTGACAAACACTGTGTGTGTCTGCAGGACCTCATCAAGATCTTTCTCCCTRGAGATGAGGACAGGGATAGAAAACTTAGAATAATCCTAGAAAGATTCAGGTTGGAAGGGACCTTAAAGCCCACTCAGTACAACCCCTGCCATGGAGGGACACCTTCCACTGTCCCAGGCTGCTCCCAGCTCCATCCAGCCTGGCTTTGGACACTGCCAGGGATCCCACGGCAGCCACAGCTGCTCTGGACACCCTGTGCCAGGGCCTCCCCACCCTCCCAGGGAACAATCCCTGCCCTCTGGCAATCTAAAGCCATTCCCCCTTGTCCTGGCACTACACCTCTTGTCCAAAGCCCCTCTCCAGCAAAGCAGCAATACCAGGKGCAGAGGTGTGTTCAGCGAGGACAAACACCTCCCGCTGCTCCGGGCTGAATCAGCAGAGCTGGAACCTTCCATGGCCGGGCTGTCACTGCCCAGGACGGGCAGGGCGCTCCTGTTCCCCGCCTCGGGCCTCCTCCCGGCCCCAGCACCGGGTCCCRCACGGTCACTGCTGACCCCCTCCGGCACCCGGGCCCTTCCCGATCCCCACACGGGCTCTCCTCCTGCGCCACTGCCGAGTCCCCACACGGGGTCCCCGGGCACGATCCCCTCACACCCCGGTCCCCACACGGGCCCTTCCCCGGGCCCCGCGCCGGGCCCCAGCAGCCTCCCCGCCGGCTCCCCGGGCACTCACGCTCCGCTGCGCCAGCCCATGACCTTGTTGCGGTAACAGGCGATCTCGAAGCGCTTCCCAGCGCGCCGTGCCCGCACCACGGCCACGTTGGTGAGGCGGATCTGGTTGGTGGGGGTGAAGATGGACATGGCGGCCGCGTCCGCTCCGCCCCCGGCCCCGGCCCGGCAGTGAATGGCGGCCGCGCCGGTGGAGGCGGAAGGGGCGGGAGCGGCGCATGGCGGCGTGAGGGCAGCGCGGGAGGAGCGGGGTCAGTGCCGGGCTGGGGACCGGGAGGGGACGGCGTGGAGCCTCTGTGTGTGTGTGAAAGAGAGAGGGAACCATGGGCCAGGGGGTGTAATAACCGTGTGTGCGGGATTTTAACTGTAATAACTGTGTGTGGGGGTCGTAACCGCGAGGGGAGATATAGCCGTGTTTGTGGGATAAAAACCGTGTGTGGACTTATAACTGTGAAGGAGGGATATAATAACCATGTTTGTGGGGTAAAAACCGTGTGTGGACTTATAACTGTGAAGGAGGGATATAATAACCATGTTTGTGGGGTAATTATTGTGTGTATGGGCTTGTAACTGTGAAGGAGGGGTATAATAACCGTGTTTGTGGGCTAATAACCGTGTATGGGGTAAGAACTGTGATGGGGGGTATAACCGTGTTTGTGGGGTAATAACTGTGTATGGGGTAAGAACTGTGAATGGGGGGTATAACCGTGTTTGTGGGGTAATAACTGTAATAACTGTGTGTGGTAATAACCGCGAGGGGGAATATAACCGTGTTTAGGGGATAAAACCGCTGTGTATGGGCTAGTAACTGTGAAGGGGGGGTATAATAACCCTGTGTGCGGGATAGTAACTGTGATAACTGYGTGTGGGGGTCGTAACCGCGAGGGGAGATACAGCCGCGTTTGTGGGATAAAAACCGTGTGTGTGGACTTATAACTGTGAAGGAGGGATATAATAACGGTGTTTGTGGGGTAATTATTATGTGTATGGGCTTGTAACTGTGAAGGAGGGATATTAGTACCGTGTTTGTGGGGTAGTAACTGTGTATGGGGTAAGAACTGTGAATGGGGGGTATAATTGTGTTTGTGGGGTAGTAACTGTAATAACTGTGTGTGGGGTAGTAACTGTAATAACTGTGTGTGGGGTAATAACTGCGAGGGGGGATATAACCGTGTTTAGGGGATAAAAACGCTGTGTATGGGCTAGTAACTGTGAAGGGGATTATAATAACCGTATGTGTGTGTGGTACTGACTGGGAGTGTGGTGTGGAGGGAGATGAGAGTAATAACTGTGGGGGTTTGTTTGGGGTGTTTATTAACCATAGTGGTGTGATAATTCTGAAGAGGGGGATGTTTAATAATTGTAAGAGTGAYGGGATAACCGTGAGGTGCAGGGGAAGGGGGGATGATAACCGTGTTGGTATTTGGGGGACAGAGAGGCATTAACCGTGAGAGGAGGAATAACCACGAGGGTGGGGGGTGTGAGTGTTTTTGTGGGGTAATAATCATGAGGGGTGGGGTGTAGTTGTGTAGGATGATAATAATGAGTGTGTGTGTGCATGTTTTGGAGCTAAAATTGTCTTGAATATATACAGCATCTACTGCATTTGAGAAAATTCTATAGAGGTTAAGGGAACCACTGTAGCTGGTTTTGTRTTAAATTGGGAATACCGGGCAAGTGTTCTTGGCTGTGCTCTTTTGGGAGTCTCGGTGTTTTTGCTGGAAGGGTAAATGACATCCTCTCAAGCCTTTGATCTGSTAACTTGACTAACAGCCAGTACGAGTTTCCAGCCTGTTGGAAGTACTTGGATTCTGTGCTCTTGACTGATATCTGCAAAAACAAGATCCAAGCTGCAGATGACAGTAGGAGGGTGTCAGCTGTGTTCCTCAAGCAATAAGTATCACAAACCGGCCTGTTTTAAATGTCTGAGTATTCCATATGGAATAGATGTTCCCAGACACCAKGCAGGTGTGTTCCTGGCTGCAGCATTCTATAATGTGAACGTTCTGAACCAACCTGAAACCTCTCAGTTCCAAATCAAACTTCACTTGCATCTGAGAATTCTGTGAAAGTGTTTCTAATTGAATCCAGGCTCCAGTCTGCCCTTGAAACTGTAATCAGTGTGTGACATCTGATGTGTATAAGCAAGGGTTGTGTTCAGTAGAAAGCTCTGCAGGCGATTTCCCCTTGGACTGGTGGGTTCTCATTTAAGAGAGCTGCATTTGTTGGGTTTATGCACAGCTAAGGCCAGCACGATCCAGTGGGTGTTTCACAAGGACTTTTTCCTTTCAGGCMCTTGGACAGCACAAGTTTTTTCTGCTTTTCTTTGTAACAGAGCTGCCCAGTCAAATTCAAATGCAGTTTCCCTCTGACAATGTGGAATGTTAGCATGGAGCTGACACACCTGAGGAGGTGCAGGCTTCTTAACTCAATTTGAGTTCCTCTTCTTTAGCTAAAAGCTGCTTTCTGCAAAGCCTGGGGAATAGCTGATGATGTGAGGCTGTGGGTTCTGTGATTATTTTGTGTGTGCTCATTCCATATTCAGACTGTAGGAATCTGTGACATTCCAGATTTAGATGTCTCAATGGATACGTCGAGCTACTTCCATACTTGCCTGRTGTCCATATGGCTGCACAGATTTTACATCTATTCTGCTGTTGCATTTGGGATCAGCCTTTGGATTGTTATTCAGTTCGCCACCACCAGAACCAAAAGAAAGGTAACTGAGCCTGTCAGCACTTTTCTCTGAGCAAACCCCAAAAACCTGGGTGGAAGTGAGTAGTTACTGGGTAAAGGCACCTAATTAGGGTGCTGCAAATCCCAAATGCAATTCAGTTGTGTGGTTATGATCCTCAGCCTGGATTGTTAGTGTCTGTGGGTCACTAAATGCCCTCGTTGATCTGATGAGCTCAGCAGGACACTCCTCACAATGTTCCTGGGAGAATGTGTCCCCCGGGTTGCTCTGCCACTCCAGGTAAACCGCTCTGCTTGGGCCCAGTGTTTTCACCTTGATGTTTTCATGATGCTAATGACAGGGTTGGACTGGTTTTAGGATGGGGATTCGGAGGGGATTAGGCCATTGAAAACCCCCTTGTGAAGGTGGTGAAGTTGTGCTGCAGGAGTTGGGATATTGAGCTGGATCCTGGTATCTCCCAGACAAGTGTTTATTTCCTGGCCAAGGTCAGGAAGAGAGTCCTGGTGTGTTTGTCTGGGTGTGAGAGGAACCAAAATGCTTTGAGTTGCTGTGAGTGGCCCCAGGATGTGAATTTTAAATGGTTTGGTTTGACATCCCTTGGAGAAGAGATTATGTGTGACACAGCTCTTGTTTCCTAGGATGAGAAATCCCACGGGAGTCCCACTTCCTCCGAGGGACCAGCAGACAAACTGAGCAATGGATGTGCCTCCCCTCAGGCACAGGAGGTCCATGTTGCTGGAGTGAAGATTTTCTACGGCTCTCAGACTGGYACAGCAAAGGTACCTGTGCTTTTATTGCACATCTGGGAAATTGCTTTGAAATATTGCTGGGATCCAAGAGCGTTGCTTGCCTTAATGCACTGCACTGAGTACAGCTCTGGGAGTTCATCAGCACGTGTATTAGCTGATGCTCAACATACAAGATAAGTGAAAGTTAAATAAAAATAACAATTTTCTCCCTCCCTTCAAGCAAGGCACGCAGTAGAGATTGATTATAAAGCTAAAAGTTTACTCTTGCAGTATATCTTAAATTTTTTAGCAGGTCTTCTTAGAAGTTCTGGTTTTGGTGCTTTCTCAAGAAGAAATGTAGTTTGTGAGTGTAACTGTGAGGTGATTAGTCATTATAATGTGACTCTCTCTCTCTTTTTGTTTTAATGTGAGGAATTGCAGTTCCAGTGTCCAGGTCTCCTGTGTCATTATTCTTCCTGTGCTGGGAGAAGTCTTGTGGCTGAGCACAGCAGGGCTTGTGTGGGTTGAAGTAATTGATAACTTTCTATGTTTCTTTGTTCAGAGATTTGCCAAAGCTCTGTCTGAAGCTGTTATTTCCCTTAATTTGCCTGTGGAAGTCTTTAACATGGAAGACTGTGATCCAGAGGATTGTTTGTCAGAGGAGGTGAGTATGGCATAAAAGTGAGTAATAAGTACAGGTTTTTTCCTGGGGTTGTCTTTTCCTCTTGTATTTCTCTCCTGTTATCCTGGAAATCCCCAAAACGTTGTGTTGAAAATTGCCTCCCTGTTATATATGCAAGTGTAACCCATCAGTCCTTGGCAGAAAATACCTAAATTTGGAACATTTCAGAGCAGCAATAGGATGTTTTGTTGTGACAGTCACTCTGTATGGTCCCCTTCTGTGCTCAGGGGTGAGCTGGGTGACAGTGGCTGCACCAGGTGCTGTATACACGTGGGCTAGGGTCAGAACCAGAACAGGAAGTGCTGATGCTTCTGCAGGCTTTAGAGGCCTTTGAAGTTGGAAACTCCTTGTGACGTGTATTTATATTGAATAACCCTTGATGGGTTTTTCTTCAGTGAATATTGATAGTTGCTACTTGAGTGTTTAATTAATCCTAGCAAAATGTTTTGGTGGGAACTGTGTGCTGGAAATTCCTTAGGGTTTCAGTATGGATTGTCAGCATTTGATACTGCACCTAATAAACCTGCAAATGTGGGGTTGAAGAGTTTGAAATCCTTATCCATGGGGTACTTTATTGATGAAGGAGTCTGGTCAGGAAGCTGCTGCATGGGCTGGATGTCCAGTTCTGCTCTGCCACCACATCCAGCTTCATCTCTCTCTCTGCTAATGTAAGGTGCTCTGCACCCTTGGGATTATCACCTGCACCATCCCACCGCGATGGGGGACAGCCTTGCCTTTTGACTTTTCCCAGCTGCTTGGTTGTTGTGACTCTTAGCTTGAAAAGAAGGTTCTGGAAAATGCAGTGATTTTTTTTTTCTCTCTCCTGTCCTGTTTGTGTGACCAGACAAGCAGCAGGAACATCTGTGTGTTCCTGGTGGCCACGTACACCGAGGGGCAGCCACCAGAAAGTGCAGCCTGGTTCTGCAAGTGGCTGGAGGAAGCAGCCAACGATTTCCGCGTTGGGAAAAGCTTCCTGCAGGGCCTGAGATACGCCGTGTTTGGCTTGGGAAACTCAGCTTATGTGGATCATTACAACACAGTGAGTGTCCCCCGAGCTCCCTGCTTGGTTTCTGCTGCTCTGGGAGCCTCAGCTCTATGAAATGCTTCCAGTCTGGGTGGTGCTGGTGGACTATGTGGGAATTGCAGCTGTTGTACTGCCTGAGTGAGGGACTGGGTTTAGGGCATGGGTAAAATCCCAGAGCCACTGAGGTTGGAAAAAGCGTCTAAGATGATTGAATCCAATCTGTGGCCTGATCCCCACCTTGTTACCAGCCCAGAGCACTGAGTGCCACATCCAGGTCTTTCTTGGACGCTTCCCGGGATGGGGGCTTCAAACCTCCCTGGGCAGCCCCTGCCACTCCTTGACAGTGCTTTCCATGAAGAAATTTTTCCCAGTATCCCCCCTGCCCCTGCCCTGGCCCATCCTGAGGCCATTCCCTCTCCTCCTGTCCCTGTTCCCTGGGAGCAGAGCCCGACCCCCCCGGCTGCCTCCTCCTGTCAGGGAGTTGTGCAGAGCCACAAGGTCCCCCCGGAGCTTCCTTTGCTCCAGGCTGAGCCCTTTTCCCCACTCCCTCAGCTGCTCCTGGGGCTCCAGCCCCTTCCCCAGCTCCATTCCCTTCCCTGGACACGCCCCAACCCCTTCAAGTCTGTATTGTCCTGAGGGGCCCAAATCTGTCCCCAGGACTGGAGGTGTCCCAGCAGTGTCTGGTGCCGAGGGACAGTTCCTGCCCTGGTGCTGCTGCCACACCATTGCTGGTTCAAGCCAGTGCCATTGGCCTTCTTGGCCACCTGGCAGTTCAGCTTTGAAGCAATTGGATTTTAAATGGGAGATGAGTCCCACAAGCACTGGGAGGTGTGGTAACAGATTTGGTAAATCCTTACTGAGTTCATTTCCCAGCTTTGAAAGCTTTGTGCAGTCATCTGCGGGCACAACACTGTGAACCCTCTTGCCTGCTGCCTTTTAGTTTAAAGGCTTTTTAAAAGGTGGCTTGGTTTTCTCATGTGGCTTTTAGCTTTTTTCCCTGGTGTAAACTGTGACAGCATCTCTGCCTGGTCATTGGTCTAATCTCACACAGAAATGGCATTACTTGTCACCAGGTTGTGTTTACAGCTGGGGCTGTGTGTTACACAGGTGACTGTTTTGACCCACAATCATCACACAGAGCTTGTTCCCAGAGCCCCTCCCTTCCCACCAGGGATGGCAGAGAGATTTTCCAGCAGAGCCTGAGGGTGTGTGGTGGTGATCACGCTGTGTCTGTGCTGAGCCAGCACATGAGAGGGACTGCCCAGGTGCCTGCCCTGCAGTGCCATGCAGCTCCGTAGCTCTGTTCCCAGGCTGATCCTTGTTTCTCTGGTTGTCTGCTTGAACTTAGCCTTGGTTCAATTCCCTTTCCACACTTTCCTCCTGCCCTAGGTTGGAAGGAGGGTTGACAGGTGGCTGTGGATGCTCAGTGCCAGCAGGATCATGACTCGAGCTGAGGGGGACTGCAACGTGGCCCAGAGCAAGCATGGCAGCATCGAGGCTGACTTTGAGGCCTGGAAAACCAAATTCCTCACTCGGCTGCAGGCGCTCTGCAGGGGGGAAAAGAAGCCCTGCAGTGGGAAATGCAAGAAAGGGAAGTGCAAATCTTCGGGGAAGCAGAGCAAGGAAAGCTCAGATCATGAACATGGGATGTCAGAAAATGAGAATACTGAGGTACAGCTAAAATCCATCAAGCTTTTTTTTTTTTTTTTATTTGGAGCCCTGTTTGACTTCTTCCTCCTTCAGTCTAGTGGGCTGCTGTAGGAGCCTGATACTTGTTCTGGAGCACAGGGAGGAGTGAGATCCCATGGCAGTAACAAGTAGAATAAGCCATTCAAAAGAAGGGCCAAAGGATTAATGATGGATGCAGGCCTGATGGCATTTGTGTGGTGAGGGAGTCTTGCTCTTGGCTGGGGGAGGTACCAGATGCTCCAGGGAGCCAGGCTGGGTTCTCAGCAGGGCTTTTGCCTTCTCCTGAGGCCAATGGAGCCATTTAGTTCCCTGTGAATTGTTGACATGCTTCTTCTTCAACCTGGTGAAGCTCAGCTGCTCTGCCCCCATCCCGAGGTTTTCCAAAGGCAGCAGGGGAGTGTTGTCTGAGCAAGCCCAGTGTGTCCTTTGTGTGTGCCTGCCTGTAATAGTTTCTCTCTTCTGGAGTATTGATTGCAGGTCTTGACTAAGAAATCTTCTCTACTGCTCTCCAGTGCAAGACCCAGAGTTGCTATGGCACTTTAATCCTCTCTCAAGCCTTTTATTGTGGGTTGGAAATTACTGCTGGGTTGAATTTTGTAGGAAAGTAAGTGGTTCTTCTGGCAGGGCTTGGGGGTGCTGGCTGCTGCAGGGGCAATAAATCTGGCTGTCAGCAAGGCACTTGGAGAGTTTAAAGGGGTTCAGGGTTCCATATCCATCCTACAGGTTTTGGTAGGCTATTCCTTGTTTTCAGTGGTCTTTACTGCTGAGGAGAGCTCATTTCAGATGAAGGTCTTATGTTTAATAGTGAGATAAATCCTTCATTTTTTCTCTGCTCTCTCCCACAGGCAGAGGAATTGTTTGAAACCAGTAGTGAGGAGGAAGCTGAAGGCACAAATTCTGTCATCGATGTTGAAGATCTTGGCAATATCATGGGCCACATGAAGAAAGAAAAGGTACTGCTGTTAGAGGGGTTGTGGAATGGTCAGGTCTTGGTCACTGAGTTCTTGGATTGATAAAAATGTTACTGGCTGGATTTGAATCTGTAGGGGTTGGTTAGGAGAGCAAAATAGGAGCTATTGAAGAACCTGTCCCAAAAAAAGAACAGCTTTGGAGGTGTGTTGGTGTAATCACAAACTGACTCCGACTTGCTCACTATGATTGCCAGTCTGAGGGAAGATTGACTGGCAGAGTTGGATCTGGCTGTGAATTTCTGCTACTGACATTCCCAGCACAGTCCCTAAGCACAGTTCCCGTTCCTGTGCTGCCTGTTGCTTTGTCACTGGAATACAGGTGCAGGAGGAACATCCAGCTGGCAGAGCACCTTTGCCTTGCTCACTGCTGCCCTAGGAGGGCTGTGCTCTGGCTGCTGACCCCCTTCTCTCTGAGTGACCTTTCCATGGTGCTGTCATTCCCTGGGCACCCTTGAGCTGCTGTCCAGCTCTCACACCCTCTCACCACACTGACTTCTCTCTCTAATACAGCTCTCTTTTCTTGGGTGCCTCTGCTCTGTGGGCTTCTCACAGCTCTTCCCCGGAATGAGGCCCTGGCACAGGGTGCCCTTGAGAAGCTGTGGCTGCCCCTGGATCCTTGGCAGTGTCCAAGGCCAGGTTGGACAGGGCTTGGAGCGGCCTGGGACAGTGGGAGGTGTCCCTGCTCATGGAAGGGATGTGGAATGAGAGAATCTCTAAGGTCTCTGTCAATCCCAACTGCTCTGTGACTCTGTGAAAACAGAACAGTGTCCTCACGGTTCTGAGCTGGGATGTCACTGCTGGGTCCCCTGAAGCCAGGCCATGGCCCACAGGAGGCTGTGCTTGAGAGGGCAAGAGCTTGCAAGGGCAGCGTAGGGATCTCTGTTCCTCTCCTTATAAATCAAACATTGCTGTTTGTAACCAACTCTTTGAGCAGAGCAGCCCCAGTGATGGGCACGAGTCTGGCTGCTGTGAGAGGGCTCTGTCCGGGAGTTGCTGTGGTTTTGGACCCTGCAGCTTGTGAGGGGGGAGCCTTTTGGCTTCCCTTTGGAGGGAGAAAGGACCACAGCTCCTCGTGGAAAACATTATTCCTATCGTCTCTCTCCTGCGCAGCCGCTAGAGGTCAGCGGCCAAAAAGGGAACCGCGTGTGCTGCAGCGGCTGCTCCTGGGCGCTTCAGCCCTGCCGGCCGACGTGACAGCCAGCGGTTTTGTGAAGAATTGGACACTGAGTTTTCACTGACTGACAGAAAGTGGCAACACCAATGAGGAGCAGTGTAGTCCAGGAAAACCACATATCACAGTTTACAAATAAAAAGTGAGCACAGCAATAAAAGACTTGCTGCTTTCAGTGGAAGAAGTCAGTGTGGTGTGGGTTTATACACAGGCAGGGAAAGTTCACTGCGGTCTGTGCCCTGGGCTGAGGCAGGATCCAAACTGCTTTCTCCTCAGCCATCCTGCTGTTGGATGTATTTGGGTTCTGCAGTCTCTTGTGTCTGTGTGGATCAAGTTCCTTTGGCTGTGACCCAAGTGCCACCCCCGATCAGAGGGGCAGCCTCTGTCTGGGCACAGACCTTCACCTGGAGCTGGAACCTGCAGGTGTTGGTCCTCTGAGCCTTGGAGAGGCTGGCACGGTTGTTCTGCTCTGGAACCTGAATGTTGTCCTCTTGCAAATGATTAAATCCTGAGAGGGCGGGTATTGGTGTGGGCTGGAGAGTTCACTCTGGGTGCACATGAATTTCACCTGCATTGCAGTCCCATCCTCTTTCTAGGCTCTGAGTGTGTGCAGGGGGAAGTTTCCTGTGCCAGGTTAGTTGCTCTCCCTGTGGCCATTTTAGCCATTTTCCCTCTCATGGGATGCTGGACTGTATAAAATGAGTGTGATGCTGTTCTTTTACACTGGGGTAGCCTGTTGGCCTGCAGGAATCCGTGCCCACACAGCTGAGTGCTTTGGGATCTGAGCTGGTCACACACAGGTGAGCAAGTCTGAGAAAAGCTTGTGCATCTTAAGGGTTGTGTCACAGACAGTTTTTCATCCTCGGGGTTCCTTGGATGTGGAATGTGCCTGACACTTCCAGCAGGAGTTTTCTGGGTGTCAGTGTTGGGTGTTCACCCCTCTGGATATGGGAGTGGAACAGCAGGTTCTAACCTTGTGCATTACAGTTAATTTGAAATGATTTTGGGGCCAGCTTTGATCTCTTCTGCATGAATTGCCTCTTGTGAGATTCACTAGAATCTGTGCAGACACAGACAGAATTCCCTCTTGTTCTGCCTTTTCTGGCATGACAGAGTAAGGCTGTGGAGGTGAGTAGATCCAATAAAGGCTTGCTCACATCTCTGCAGGTGATCCTAATTTAATTTTGTATCTGTCCTTTGTTGTCTGACTTGATGGAAATCAAGGCTGAGATTGGTTTTACAGCTTTTTCCTCCCCTATTCTGCAGGTTTGTTGCACTTTAAAAAGTAAAGTATTGTCAAAGGGCTTGAAGCAGATATTGGATTCTTGCAGTTTGGATCAGGCAGATGGATTCAGGAGTTCCAGGACAATGCCAGAACCTCTCTTCCTGGTTGAGTTGTAGCTGTTCCAGACCCTGAGTTAGAGAAGAGGTGGATTTTTAAAGAGCTGCTGAGTGTGAAGCTACACAATTCATGGTGATAGTGCCCTCTGCACACTGAGCCTGGGCCCAGATTGGCACAAGGTTGGGTATATATATATGTGTGTGTGTGTGTGTATTACATAGATATAATACGTATATTCAAATGTATTAACTGGTAGCTAATCCAACAGCAAATTCGACTGAAGTTTATCAAATCTCACAGTATGTGCTGATGGTTTCTAATGGATTTAAGAACTAGGTGGACTTTAGAGATCTGCAGTTGTGTCCCACTTTGCCTGTCCTCCAGAGTTCCTCCCCTGACAAGGATTTATTAGAGGATGTGAACTCTGATGGGTGTTTGTGGTGCAAGGTGCCATTAATCACAGGGACACAGCTCTTAGTGTGGATTATCTCCCCCTGATGGGAGAGTGTGATCAGCTGAAAAGACAGATCCATCTGCACTCATTCCCAGGGAATGGAATGACTTTATTAACCTTCATATTTATAAACTTCCAGCATGAGTAATAGCAATAATAATATCCTGATTCCTTGTTTTGATGGCTTTGGAAGCAATCAAATGAGCATATTTTGTTGACACAATTTTGAGATTAATGCTCATGTTTTCTAAAACAAGAAGAGTAATGATGCTGACAGGTTCATTTGCAATGTAAAGATGGGGGGTGGGGATTGGAACACCAAGAGTTTCCAGGATCCAAAATCTGTGCAGAGTGTATTCAGGAAGTTTGTGTTCCTCTGTATCCATTTGCCACAGGGGAGCTTTCCTGGTCATCTTTGGCACTGTTCTCTAAAAAGTCACCCTGTGTTGGCCATGTGCCACCACTGGCATTGTAAATCCCACTCCTTCCAAGGCTTCCTAAGAGCCCTTGGAGTCTGGTGCTGCTGGGGGAGTCCAAAGCTTGCAAGCCCTGTGTGGAAAAACTCTTAAGGAAGCTGAATTTGATGGAATGGGGCAGTGGGCAATGAGGTATTCAGGACCCATGGTTTGCAGATCAAGGGTCATGTGCAACTTTGTGCTGCAGGTAAAAGCTTGTTAGAATAGGGAAGAATGGTATTTTAACCAAATGGAACAAAATTTGGGTATGTACCTGTCAGTTAAAACTGATGTGGATCTCTCCAAAACCTTCAGCTTTTAATGGGTGAAGGATTCCGTTATGAAAAATGTGCCCTTATCTGCAGCAGCTGTTTCTGGGCTAGACTTTGACCTGTGCTACTCAGGCTCAGAATTCAGTGTGAGCCTACATTTTAAAATAAGCTTTAAGAAATGTAATTTAACTTCTTGGGATCTACTTCTATCATTAACAGTAGGATTTGCCACAGGGGCACTTCATCCTTCTCCTTTCCTGTGTTCAAATCTTTATTCTCCAAATCCTGACAATTGGAAAGAATTACAATTGCTAAACAACATTACAAGAAATCTTGAGGCTTTTCTAAGTAAGGCTTATGAGTGATGAAAGTAGAAAAAAAAAAACCCAAAATAATTTTAATGTAACCTCTGGCTGGATTTTCAGTCCCTGACATGATGTGGCAGTGGCTTCCTTGCTAAAGGCATTTGAGAGCTCTTGCTGTTCATTTGCAGCCTTTTCCCAAGCACATCCTTTGGTGGAGATGGTCAGGAATGACCCTGTAGCAGCCCAGCCTCCCTGCTTGCTATTTCTCAGCAACTTTGTGCTCCATTTCTCAGGTGGTCTTTTTTCCTGTGCATTTTTTAAGTTTTCTGCCTGTCTAATAGTGCAGTTGATCAGAATTCCATGAATTCTATGAATCAG